GCTAGTGGAAGCAATGCAGGTAAAATATTTAATATGACATACTTTAATATAGATATAAAAACAAGCATTTTACTAAAATACAAAAGCAATGTTTTTTTAATGGAAATAAATAATGTTAATGAAAAAATTTATATATATATATATATATATATATATATATATATATATAATTATTTATAACTTGTCATATCACACATTATTGAATTTAGTGAAAATTATAACACTTGTACATGATATTTAATATAATATTTAATATATATATATATATATATATATATACATACATATATATATATATATATATATATATATAGATATTTAATATATTTAATATATATATATATATATATATATATATATTAAATATTATATTAAATATCAATGTTAAATATTATATTAAATATCATGTACAAGTGTTATAATTTTCACTAAATTCAGTAATGTGTGATATGACAAGTTATAAATAATTCTTAATATTTTTTCACATTAGATATATTTAGTTATTACCTTTAAACAGTGAGAAAATTACATAAACGATGAAACCAGTATTGTACGCTTAAAGCTATAATAAAATTATTTATTTATTTAAAAATAAATTACTTGATATATGTATATGTTAGATGTTCTGTTTCATCAGAATTTCATTATGTTTTTAAATTTTCATCTTTCTTAAAATTTTAATAAAATCAAATCGTATATAAAAAAGCAAATACATGATTATTAAATAAGAAAAATGAACTTATATGATAAAATCATATCATATTTTATATAATAAATTATATTATATATGGTAAATCGAGGCAAAATTTATTCTCAGTTTTGAAAACTCAGTATTTTCTACTTTATTTCATGGAAAATTTAAAATAATTTTATGGCAATTAAATAAAAAAATTAATCGACTATTGTATTCGAAAGAATATTCTAGTCTGAGAAAATGCTAAAAATGTTCAACTCGTACACAGACACATACATATACAAGCTATCGAATTTTACACATATAGTGGTAGTCTCGTGAGTCTAGTGTGAATCATGTGCGCACGCATGAAACCATGATGGCCGTCGAAGATGCTCTGGTAGAGGGAGAAAACATAGATGTTAAAGAAATGGAGAATAGTGGGGTTGAAGTAGGAGCAATGGATCTCAGGTAGGGATGGCGAATGAAAGTTTCGCAGACGCTATTGGCGCCATTTTCACAGAGGCGAGGCGTTATGGAACGCAAGACGGCCATCATGGATTTCAGCATGGCTGCTATGGAACAGCGAGCTATACTCGAATTGGATTCATTTGGAAAAATGAAGCATAAGCTATTGAATCAAAAATGAAAAAAATGGCGAAATTATAATTTATAATTAATACACTATAATAAAGAGTGATGTCTTCTGTCTTTAATAATATTATTTATAAATAATTTTCATTATCTGTAGTAAATTTTAATTCAATATATTTCAATAATTAAATATTTTCAATCATTTTGATTGTATCATTTTATCAAATTTAAAAATTATTGTATTTTTTAATTTACAAACCGATATGAATTTAAGTAACAGTTAAACAATGATATAATTTGTCAAAAATACAATAAAATTTAAAATTAATTAATTTTTCTCAAAATTATCTATTTTATCTAAACACAAATATTCGTGTGTAATTTTATCTATCATTTTAGGCATGGAGGGATTCCTTCATCCTCAATCAACGTCGTATTATGACTTAATATATTAGCAAAATTTAATTAGTTTTTGTTATTAATAAAAATGTTTTACCCAGAGCATGATATCAATGTAACAAGCAAGAAGTAAGAATCATCGTTCACCTGTTCATAAGGTCAATAGGTAATGTGATAACGACCGTTCATAATGGTTGACGGAGGAAGGAATTACCGTGCAAACCGACACTTAAGGTTTATCGTGTCTCTTACCATGAGGTTGTATGTATACTATTCTCTTAAAAGTGAACGGTAGTGAGTTGTAACAAGATTATTGACTTTAAATCGTAGCGAATGACCCTATTGAAGCTACAAATATATTACCGATACCAGAAAGCTAAATAGGTATATGTGCAATATATCTATGAAAATGGCTAAAGCGTGCAAATCACTTTATCACACAGAGACACAAGTGTGAAAACTGAATGAAATAACTACCTGATGCTTGGAACTTTGGAGACATTGTAACAATGACAGAGAATATGACATGAATTTATTTCGAGAAAAATGATGACAATATAATTTATGTAAAAACGTATAAAATATCTTGGTTTTGTTTTAATTTATATTTTTATATAATATTATGTTTATATGATATATCGTTTAGCTTTAGCAAAAAAATGCTTAAAGCAAGAAATATGCATAACTACAGATATTGAGCTATATATAAATTCTCAAATATTGCGTGAGAATTGAAGATAATTTCCATCACGAAATCGCGGATTTTTTTTATTTATTATTTCATGGAAAACGATAAAGATTTCATGCATTATTTTAAAAACTTTATTTCAAGCTCCACTCGCCAAATCTATTAGCCGTGTCATTGTGTGGTTGATAATACACAATCTAACATAGATTCTCTCGCGAGTAAATGAATAAAAAATTTAAAGATAAGTGAAACCCTATAAAGTGACGTCAGCCTGTGATAAGATCACGGGCTAATATCGAAGGTTAACTAATTTCTATTTGCTGTAAGTGATTGAAATAGCAATGAACGATAAGAGAAACATATTTGTTCAATAATATTTCAATAATTAATTCAAATTAATGTAAACACGAAAGAGTCAATGATAAATGTTTATGTTAATTATTTATAAATCATATACATTTTTATACATCGCATACGTTTTTTCATATGTTTCACAAAACTCTTTTATATAATAATATGATAAACTCGTATTCATATTAAACTTCTTTCTAATAATCAATTCGATTAATAAACTTAATCATCTTCGATTTATCATTTTATTTAAAATTAAAGAAACAAGACTTCGGAAGTAATATTGCTAAAAATAAATTAAAGCATATCAGACGATGGAAATGCATAACATTCAATTATAATTATCTGTGAAATATCTGTCTTTGATTATTTTAAGTGACTAACGCAGCTAATATACGCGGCCGGAAAGCCAAATATACACGAAGAAGACATAAGCGAGAAATACTGACACGAGTGCAGGTGTTTATGAGCAAAATAATAACCAGGCTTTATGGAGCCTGACAAGCGAGCACTATTACATTGGTCGTAATTGTAATGATTATTATATAGTGCGATTATGCGGTTGGTGATTCTGCATACGCACATAAGTTTAACATTCTAAACAAATTTACTAGTCTCATTAACAAAGTAATTTTTGTCCGCATAAACGTATGCAAACGTATGCATGTTTTAATGAAAAAAAATTACAAAAAGAATTCTACTTTACCTAATAATTTCCTGTTACATGTATAAATTTCTCAACAATAATTTTTGAAATATTCGAAAAAAAAGACCGAAATGTATCGCTTTATCTCACTAATAAAATGACTCGAAGAAGGTATTCAAAAATATAAGAATTAATTTTGATACAAAGCTAATTTTTTGTTTAATAAATGTATCTAAATCTTTAGCAAGTAAGCACAAAAAAGACTTTACAACATATATTTGTATTTCCGTAACCCCAAACAAGACTAATAAATCGTTTCCCACAGTTACACTTTCAATTTCATCGTCCAACATATTAAATACTTTATGATCTTTAAATACACATACACGTAGCACATATTACCGTGTGTATGTACGTGTTCGTCTTCATCTGTATTCTCTGCTTTATCGCTTATCGTATCTGCAAATATCATCGAGTTAAATGTAAATAAAACCGATCGTGTATGTTACGACACAATTCTAGGCTAATATCAAAAAGTGCGATGCAGTGATAAAATATACGATGCAGTGCAATATCCTACGTGAAAATCACATAAAATTCACGCGTCTTCCTCCTTATATCGTATAAAACTGTAATTCATGTACAATTCACGTATTACGCGCAATAATACGAATTTAAAGTTGCCAAAGTGAAGAGACTGACTCTCGCAATTTATCGCACAATAACGCGATATTTGACCGACAAATAGGATAATTTATTCTATAAATATATTTAGGATATTTATAGGGTAATTTAAATACAGGCAAGAAATGCGACGAATCGAAAAACATTTTTCCTCGCGAGGACACGTCGCAATTCTGAAAATTTCGTACCGTTATGCACACAGATTTCACGGGGCTTTGCACAGTGACTCTGTGTCCCATCTCGAGAACTATTCTCTAATTGATAGAGCAAACCAACTAATGAGAAAGTCTAACGGGCGACTGCGGCGCCGACCCACGCCTGAGACAACTTAATTTCTTCCCGACCTTTCCGCTCATTGTTTTTTTTTTATGTGATATATCGAAATGCATGAAACTAGTGCATTAAACTAAATTAATTAATAATTAATTTGCATAAATTCTCTGCAGGATTTGGCACTCACGTGCAACAATTCGTGACAGTCGCAAAGTGACATTTCTCGTTACGTGCACGCATAATCTCTCTGAGATTATAATAAAATAAGATACTTGCCTAATGTGACAAACATTAGTTGAACAATGCATTTGCGACATGTATAAAAATTTATATATCGACATTCTTCAGAGATTGTACCTACACATTAAACACTAATTAAAATATTATGCAAATATTAATCCTAATAAAGATTTTAATCGTTAAGATTTTTAAAATATAATTTTCTTATATCTAACTTTAATCTCAGACTGTATTTTCTGTATACGACAAACTTGTCATTAAACAATTAATAGCTAAATCATGGCATATTTTATTCTGTACATCAATAATATTTGTGTACTATTCTGTGTATCCTGTCTTTCTATTTTTACACATGTTTTTAGAGCGTTTATTAGAGATATATTTGTCTCGATTAATTTAACACATCTAATTCAACAACAATAAATAATAAATAATAAATAAATAAATCATACCTCGAGTTTCAGCGGGTCATCTGATATGATCATATATTTAGAGTCTTCTGCTGGAGACTTTGAAATTCGACAAACCAAAGAGCTACTAAAGCGACACTACGAGAATTCTAATCACTTTCACTTCTGGTCTCTTCGAGTACCCGACAACCGCAAAGATTCGTTCCTTCTCTACATGATCCTCACTGTCACCAAAAAGTACCGGGTCATTATAACGTCGTCACTTCTACGGCCAGAGAACTGTCAAATTTCCCGCACAGAATACCCCGGACTTTAATCACGAGGCGCGAACATGTGTGAAGCACGGGACAATTAAATGGCGCGCTCATCGATATCGGAGAACAAAGGCGACGAATCGAAAGGTGACGAGAGAAAGGGAGAGGAGGAGACAGTGAACGATACGTGTCCCGCCGCGAAGGTCGACCATTGACAGCTCCGGGCCCGAGCAATTTGCGCGGAATCTTCAAAAAGGCCGACGGCCGTCGAGCGCGGACGAAGCCCCGACGGCGGTGAGGACAAACATCGACGGCGTAGGTCACCAAAGGAGGTCGTGCGCGCGTGCGTGCCGCCAACAATGTACTCCGCCGGTACTTTTCGAGCACATAACAATGGACCACGTTGGTGAAACGAGGCTCGGGATGGGACGTACCGCGCACTCAGCCGCTCGTTCCGTCGCGCAGACCGCGCACCCCACCCCTCCTCGCTCCCGGTGCCCCCTTTCCAACGCCACTCGATACGATTCGACCCCCACCACCGCCGTACGCTCGGCCGGTAAAAGAACGCCCGGAACTCCGCGCCACTCCCGGTCCGCGACTTCCCCCCCACTGTGCCCGGAGTAACTGATGCGAGCTTTTGCTCCTCGAACAACCCCCTCCACCAGCGGGCGAGAATTTCGATTCGAATGCCGCGATGTACTGGGTGCGCGAGAAACACGTAGCCACATTCGCAAAGTGCATTTTTGTATTATATTTATTTAAGAATGTCTCAAATGTATTCTCTCATCTTGTTTATTTTATTCGTTTTTTTCCTATCGTGTATTGAAAAGTTTTACGAATATTTTGCATTTCACATTATGAAAATGTATGATCAATTTTTAATTTTTCTGTATATACTATGCTGTAGTTTTACTGTTATATGTGCACTATTTTTATCGATATATACATGTATAATTTTCAAATAATTAACAACGTCCAAAGTAAAAGATTCCTACGTTCCTGTATTTTTCGAATTCATTTAGATTTATTAATCTGTTTCCATTATCATTGTTAAGCCAAAAGACTGCCCTTGCTCTTGAAATAAAAAATCCAAAAAGTATTAATTTTTCACGCTTATTTTAAAAAATATAAAACGTCAAATGCGTTTTTCTAGGCTCTTTAAGAAATTTAGCTTTATTCTCTAGCCTAAAGAAAATGCGATTCTTCTATGATTGGTTTAAATAACAAAGAATACCGCAGAATTATTAAAAATTTTGTAATCTTTTTTATATAAATTTAAAGCACACGCATTATTATATCTTTTAAATAAAAATTTATAAAATATATGCATATAATGCAGATTATAAAAAAATAAAATTAATGCTTTCTCTTTGCTTTCTATTAAAATTACAATTGAATTTAAAAAACTACATTTTTATTTAAATTAAATTCTTTTTTATCAATTTAGTTATTTTCTAATTTGATTGAAATTTAATAGACAAATTGATTCGTGTTATTTTTATAACCAATGCTTTAAAAATACAACTTATAGCTAAATTTATATATAGAAGAAAAAAAGGATTGACTCATGCAATTTTTGGTCTTTCTGATTTTTACGAATCCTAATGTCCAAGTCGTAGACTTTTATAAGCTGGTTTTAATAGAAGAATCATGCAACCGATAACATATATATCTTCCTTTGAACTTTCGTTCCGCAAGTTCTATCTTTCATGCCATCATCGAAATGAACAACGCCTCGCCTCCGCTTTCTTCTCTTTTTTTTTCATCTTCGGCGAACATAACGCTCTCACGCAGAGTTCGAGATCATGAGAGAGGGAGTCTGACACTCAAAATAAAATACGAGCTAGTTCTGTCTCATGTCACAAGCCACACCTACGCGTCCATATACAGGTTTCAAAAAGCGTAGCTATTCCCGGCAAACAAAGCTTCTTTTTTAAACATCTAGATTTTTTCCTACGTCAAATCTGATTTGATGAGATATTTAAATCCATTATTTCGGTTAAAGTATGCGGTTATTATTATTGTTAGCGACATAGTAGATATATTGTTTTGATAAAATTCACATTTGTTCAAGAGGAAGATAAAAATATCTGGCAAAGTTGACTTATCATGTAGCAATAATATATTAATACAAATAGAGATAATTAATTTATTAATGCGATAAATCAAAATCTATTAATACAAGCATCAAACTAATCCGTTTCGTCAAGATTTTGCTAATATAATATGCAACGAATGACGTAATGCACATACATATATGTATAATATAAGAAGGCAATAATTATTTTAATTTATATATTAAATTAAATTTTTTAAAATAATCAATATACTTTAAATTAATCTACAAACATTCTATAAACATAGTCCAGTCATATTATTTTATGAAATTCTAAAAATTTTATATTTTGTACATACGAGAATTTTTCTTTGTTTCTACGATTTTGTTTATTATTTTCGCAAGATGAAAAATATTGAATTTTATCGCGCATTAGAAAGTGCGAAACGTGATACGCTGCTGTGTCTTTTATAAAATATTATCGTGTAATCTTTTTCTCGAAAGGAGCGACAGAGGATGAAACATCCGACATAGCACGCGGTGTAGCAGGTTGTTAGGAAATATGGAGCGCTCGAGGGCGGAGAAAAAGAGTGTATACGACGAAAGAGGGAAGCAGAAATACACACACAAGAGAGCAGATTCGACGATCTTACTCGGGTTGGAAAGCAACGAATCGATCCTTGGAGCCAGAGCCAAAGTCTCGGGAATCTGGCCGTCTCTTCTCTTTCTTTCCCGATTCTTCTACGCGACATTTTGTTCCTCTTATTATTCATACATGTACAAGTGTACACAGTACGATATGCAAAATCCCCGATAATTAGTTCTCATTATCATTTCTGCAATGCTAATTAGTTTACAGAGACGTCTGTAAATTTGTCTCCGAGATGTTGTCAACCGCAGACAGAGAAAAATATCATTCTACTGCCAAGAAAAGCGATTACTCAGTTTATTTTTCTTGTTTTAAGTGATAGTTTTCTTCAAACAAAGAATATATTCTTGATAATAGTCTTAAAATATGCTCATCACAAGTGTTAGAAAATCTCATTAGCATGTACTCAAAAGAAGAATTTATTTTCTCTTCAAGAATATTGTAAAGTTGTATCAAAGAAAAGTCAAACTTATTTTACGTCAACTCTTGTAGTAAGCAAACCAAATTTTTGTTTTAATTTAACATTCTTGACTAAAATACTGCACTTACTAAAATTCAGAATATATTCAATTAAATTTGATGCTTGTGGTGAACTTATGATATATTTGCGGATATACAAACTTATGATATACTTCAAATAAATAATATTTGAATACAGTATACATTTTTCTCTGTGCATAAAGCGAATAATAAATGATAGAAGCTGCGGGGGATTTTGCATGTATAAAAATTAATTTTTTCAAAATTTTTGCTTCTTTAATTTAATATAAATTTTAATATATATATATATATATAAATTTATATATATATATATATATACGATGTCCCAATATACATATATGATACAAGAAGTAATTAAAAACGACCACACTGGCAAATTTTATTAAAGTGAATCACGACGTTTCGACCATGGTTTTGGTCCTTTTCGAGTGAAAATAATTTAGTTAACTATTCTATCGTGAGAAATAAGGAAATCACTTCGTCAAGATTGTCATGTCAACCATCTCCATCAACACACAGAGAAAGACTGTCTTTCTCTGTGTGTTGATGGAGATGGTTGACATGACAATCTTGACGAAGTGATTTCCTTATTTCTCACGATAGAATAGTTAACTAAATTATTTTCACTCGAAAAGGACCAAAACCATGGTCGAAACGTCGTGATTCACTTTAATAAAATTTGCCAGTGTGGTCGTTTTTAATTACTTCTTATATTTTATTTACTGGCGACCTTCAAGAGTTTAATTTTATACATATATGATGTTCAAATATTCATATAGGATCTAATATGCATCTATGATGATTTCTAAATGTACATGTATAATTTTACGTAATTCGTGTAATTAAAAATTTAAGCCACGCGCATCTTCCTCTCCGCGTGATGTAATGCGTACACATACATATATGTATATGGGAGCGACTATACCGGAGTCACGCACGCGAATTCGCACCATCGCCCGACGTGGAAATGATCACGCTCGAAGCGTTAAGACACGAACATTCAGCAGCATCGCGAGTTGTTATATTTATCGTGACACTCAAACGTTCTTTACGATCTATTAAACACCGCATCAAATGCGTCATGTCGTGCTCGACGACAGGCCCTTTTTCAGACTTATGCTAAAACATCCACGTGCTCGTGATTATTATTATTCCTCGACTTGATATCACGCGTGCAACGAATTTCGCGCACGCGAGACGTTTCCCGCGAGTATTTTCAGTAACTCGCTGAATAAAACGATCCGTAAAAACCCCCATAGGAAAATTCACGATCCGTATTAACTTGTATAACGGAGTTAAAAAGGTCGAATAAAGAGAAGTACGATTAATGAACGGATGAATATTTGCATATTAATAATTGCACGACACTTTGAAATAAAAATGAAGCGCGTTAGCCCGATTAAATTAATCGAAGACGTAATGCATAAACTTCGCCGACCGAATGAGCATTAACTGCATCGCCGTCGGATATCGAGGAACCCCGTGGGCCAGCGCGTTTAATGCTCCTATTTCTGTTTAACTTCTCAATTAACATAACCGTGCAACTTCATTATTGCCGTTACACGCCGCTTGGCCGCGAGTGAATGGAAAATACCAACCGTGTACACGAGCCTTTTGTTTTTTAAGGCCCACCTGTCACTCGCGGCCATTATAATGAACACGTGACAGCACCCTACCTAATTTCAAAATCAGTTTTTACACTTACGCGGCTTGTTTCGCTTTTACTAATGAAAACCCGCAGCTTCTCCTCTTGGGTTAAATTAAATTAAAATGTGCCAGGTGATATAAATTAGGACAAATAATTAGGTGAATAATTAGAAGAACCGTGTTCGTTTGAAAATTACCGTAGCTTATATATAAATAGTTATAAAATATATATAACAAATATCTTTTTCAGAATCGCAGATTATAAAATAAAGAAAATTAAAAATATTTCTTTTTATAGATAATGAAGAGGGAAATTAGTTCTCTTTATCTAAAATTCTGAAAGAGAAGAGAAATAGTTTAGCACCAACATCACCTTAAAATCTATGAAAATTATCCATTGAAACTTTCCTTTTTGCCGCAACCCTTCTGTTACCACAATGTGTTGTTTTTATAAACACGCAATTTACAAAAAGTTGCGGTTGCCGGAAAAA